ACCTATCTCCACGACTGCCCACAACCTCTCATTTCTTCCTCACATCATCTCATCCATATCAACCTCACATCGGATGCCTAACTCATCCTCTCCCATTTACCGTCCACTCGATACCCTGACCTGCCGCGTGATGTCTCCAAATGGTCTTCTCAGTGTATGTCCAATCCAATCTAATCCACTCCATCTCCACTTCCTTCCAGTGCATATTTGTTGGGCGGTGGGTTGTTGGTCGGTTGGTTCGTTGCCAGCTAGCTAGCTAGCCAGCCAGCCAGCCAGCGAGAGTTCCTTCTTGCTTATTCTCATTATTCTCGCCATCTGATCGATCTTCACTAACGAGTGAGCGTAGACGGCAATTGTTGATGAATATCTGTAGCTTGTCGGAAATGCCACTCACCACGTGCCAAGTCTCTCAACCACCACATAGAAGCACTGAATTACTTGACTGGAATCAGTGTTGAAAATCCTGATGTTGTCGACGCTTTATGCTGAGTGCAGAAGATGTGCACACTGATTTCAGGTTGATGAACACCTGTCTTGCTGTCTTTCCTATCCTGACTGGCTTTGACATCCTCGTCCATGCCACGACCACCATCTGTAGTTGGAACGATGCTGTCTAGGAAAGTGTAGGTGGAAGAGGATACTTCCTTTAAGTTTCTCCCGTTGATGGTGATTGCAGCTTCATGTTGATGTTGTTGTTGTTTGTGGTGGTGGTGGTGTTGGTGTTGGTTGGATATCGTCATCACCTCTGTCTTCTCTAAGTTCACCTGAGGAAGTCCCGTCTTCACTGCCACATCTCTTCAATCAACTTGTTGGATTTCGCCTATAAATCTTCAAGTTTGTGTGAAATTAGACATAAGTGATCGGTGAAATCTAAATCTTCTCAGATCCCTTGCTCGGTCCAGCCAGTGTATCCCACTCTTCTCACAGCTCCTCACTGCTTGCAGCATGATCCAGTCAAATCGACCACAATCAGGAATATCATGGGTGATAGGAGGCAGCCTCGTCTTACTCCTATCTTTACTTCAGAGGCATCACTGAGCTTCGCATTGTGAATTACTTGGCATGTGGTGTCTTCACATAGTTGTTGAATGAGGTTGATCAAGGTTTGTTGTATTCCGTAGTGTTGAAGCAGAAGCTTCCAAATTACTTGTTGGTCGACGCTGTCGAAGGCCTTTTCATAGTCGATGAAGTTGAGTTGACTTCCATTGTATGCTTTGTTGTATGTTGATGCGTAGTGTGGCGTTGTGATTTGGTCGGCACATGATTTGTACTTCTTGAATGCAGTCAACCAGAGTGTTCCGGTGGTAGTTTTGAATCCAGTGCATCGTTTAGTCTCTGTAGGATGATGCGGCATAATATTTTGCTTGTATTGGGTGTACAGGAGTGGAGCGTGATTCTGCGCCGGTTCTTGCAAAGACTTAAATCGCCCTTTATGAGGAGTTTGACAAGGTAACCCTTCTTCCAGTCTCCAGGTGCCTTCCCTTCCTTCCACACCTTCTGCAACAGTGGTGTGAGCATGTCCGCTGTTGTCTCTGTGTCTGTTTTCAATACTTCTGGAGGGATTCCATCTAGTCCTGCCGCTTTCCCACATTTCAATAGTTTTATGGCGTTCAGAACTTCCACTTTTGCTGGAGGATTTATGTTCACTTGTAGTTCTGTGGCTGTTGGTGGTATTTTTGGACGAAGTGCAGGTGGTGGTGGTGGTCGATTCAAGAGCTTCTTGAAGTGGTCAGCCCATGGTTTCCTTTGTTTCTCTTCTTTGGTAATTAGATTTTCTTCATCATCTTTTATTGGGTTCATCTGTATTGACCTCTTCCCTCTGAGATAGTAACCTGGTTATTTGATATAGTGTTGTCAGGTCTCTATCTCTCCTACCTGCAGCCTGTTCTGCTTCACTTGCCGGTGTCTTTTGTCTTTCCGCGCACTCTTCATTCAGAATAAGTACTACCTTAAAAATAAAATCCTTATTTATCTCAGAATAATTTAACTGACAGTTAGTGTGAGTAACAGAAATTTACTAGAAATGTTGTTCTGTCAAATTCGACACACAAGTATAGAGGTGGTACATAATACATGAATCCCCCAAATCTTAATATTCAGACTGAGTAATTTTCCAGGGAATGTTTCAAACTCTTCTTCGTCTAATCTATCCACTTTCACTAACCTGAGTATAAGGACATCAAAGTATAAACCAACTAATTAACTGACTGATTAAATGCTGTGAGTCACTTAGCTGGAAGTTCTGTAACAAGATTTCTTGCTTGTTAGCACAAATCAACAGGATATATCTGTAAATATGAGAAGTATACCTTAATTTACTGGTTCGAATCCGCATCAATTAGTAGAGATGTTAGTGACTTCACTGCTAACTCAACAGTCTGTCGAGATTATAACTAACCCCCCTTTAAAAGTGTTTTATCTACACAAAGTGGTCATCGGTGGGTAACTAATGTTGATAAATGTTTTTACAGATATTTCATCTTTCTAAACATCTACACATCTCATGGTAGTTTCCACTATAAAAAGAGGACAACTGTTACACTCTAGTTTGTGACTTCTCGACAATGTACACACATGAAACAGTGACAGATCTGTGGTGCTCAGATAAACCCATCAGGCTGGTAAAGGGTGGGTTCAGTCGCCTACCTTTCCTTACTTTTATCAACTCATCCAATACTACAGGTGAGTGTTTATCTAAATCTGTTAAATTTCTCTTAAGGTGGTTTTCATGTCTGTTTCCCTCTCATTTTAAAATTCAAACTCATTTGAATGTATGATGATGAAAATTTACCCTCAAAATAACTATCAACCGGCTGCTTCTCTGAAGTACATTTAGTCATTAGCATATACACGTTGGAAAGAAATCTGAAGAATCCTTGTACATTTTTGAGCAAAAAAATCGTTATTTTTGACCGCTTATTATATAACCTTACGGCTGCCGTTGGACGTAGGTATATTAGTATGACCAGCTTGCAAATAATTAACCAGTTGGTCATCCTATTTTAGGTATACCGCTTCGTGCAAGCCAATTAGCCAATCAGCTTTAGGTTATCTGAGCTAATTCGCCTGTATGAGTTGAATTAGTTTGTTCCGCTACATCGGTGATCAGCTCGTCCTGACTTGAATTTAGATCGCTCTGGTCTTAGAGGCGAAATGTAAAGACAAGTCTAACTGGTTGGTAATTACTCAAGTTGTACACTAGTAGTATATTTCGTAGACTGGTTACGGGGTGTTATATTCCCGAGCTAACGGAGACGCAGTTTGCTTTGGTATACCTGACTGTAAGCAGATGATACACTTATTCAGCCTAACGTTGACCTTGAAGGTGATTGGCCTCGAAAAACCTGGCCAATAATGTACACACGATCCACCCACACGAGAGTCAGGCAATTTTGTCCTCCCGGCCGCATACAACAGATGACAAAAGTCTGCTGCTTGTTGCCCATATATATTTCAGGCGGTTTCATTCATTTAGGTGTATACGATGACGCACAATAATTTAAATTTTGAGGGGTTGTGGAGATTTGGAATTATTTCAAGTTGTTATTCATCGAAGACTGACATCAGTTGGAGGAACAAACGAAACCTGGGAGCACTGGACAGCTGTTTCGTCCTAGTATGGGACTCCTCAGCAGTGCGCACCCACGACCCCACCAGCAGGGATCGAACCCGCGACCTTCAGGTTCCGCGACCAGCGCGTTACCATTGAGCCACTGGGTCAGAATCCAATGCTCCATATTTCCAACTTCTGTTAGCTCATGATATAGCGCAGACCGCCACCCAATGTCATCGTTGAGTATTTGTCCTCATGGCCATCAGGCTTTGACTCCACCGGTCACGACTTGTCATTGGAACTTCGGGAATACTTCTCGAAGCTAGTCACCAACGAGCACTAGTTCAATTCAGTCTTCGATGAATAACAACTTGAAATAATTCCAAATCTCCACAACCCCTCAAAATTTAATTGAACTAGTGCTCGTTGGTGACTAGCTTCGAGAAGTATTCCCGAAGTTCCAATGACAAGTCGTGACCGGTGGAGTCAAAGCCTGATGGCCGTGAGGACAAATACTCAACGATGACATTGGGTGGCGGTCTGCGCTATATCATGAGCTAACAGAAGTTGGAAATATGGAGCATTGGATTCTGACCCAGTGGCTCAATGGTAACGTGCTGGTCGCGGAACCTGAAGGTCGCGGGTTCGATCCCTGCTGGTGGGGTCGTGGATGCGCACTGCTGAGGAGTCCCATACTAGGACGAAACAGCTGTCCAGTGCTCCCAGGTTTCCTTTGCACAATAATTTGTAAAAAATGAGCAACTAATTTCGAGCCTAAAATATGAGGTAAAGCATAAACGATGGATTTCACTCAACATGCAGTTATTACCAAAATATAAGTCATACAGAGGCGAGTATGGGGTCAATCAAAAGCTCTTAAATAGAGCTATACAATTATGTTACCAATTAGGTCATAAGTAAAAAGACTTTCAAAGTAAATACAAAAATAATACGACCAATGGGACTTATCTCAGATTTACATTTACCACATTTTGGCTAATATAACAACACAGAAGAGATACAAGTATCCTTATAAAGCGTAACAAAGCATACAATTCATTCATCGATAACTTCATTGCTGTAGAACAAATAAAGGCGGCCAACTTCTTCATTCTATTTATTCTCTCTATGAAGTAATTGTGCATGACATCGTCTTCCTTCTGATCACTTTCGGTCTAGTAAGCAAGTGCCTAGCCACTGGGACAAACGTGATGACAAGTAGTATTGGAATTTATTGTATGCAGAAACAATATGGCTTTCATGATAAATTGCATATCAAGTTTCTTATTTGTCCATATAACGTCAACTATAATCTCATTCTGAAAACAGGTCTGAGCACGTGACTTCAGTAATTTCAAAATCCTACTATCGTTCACTTCACATTATGATCATCATTACTATTATTATTACTGTTATAATTATACGTGCGTTATTTCTTTACATAAAGGTAAAAATATGGTTTCAAAATCGACGATATAAAACGAAAAAGCGACTAACCAGTCAAATATTGAACCCACTGAATTGTGTGGCGGACGATTCAACAATCCAAACTCATCATCAAAATCAGAATCAATCTCATCATGAATCACATATAAATCATCAGAGTTCTACTTATCATATACCTCAACAACATTCAACGCCTTTTGTACAGTATCCAAAATATTCTGTACTTGAATTTCCCTCTCATTTACCACAAGAGCAACACCAAGTACAGAATCCTAATATTAATAATAAAATTAAAAATATATTTCATCTAATTGAAATGCCACATCTATTATCCAATAGATCTCAATTGGAATCAATAGGAAATCAGTGTTCAAAAATATCAGATGCAAGCCAAGACCGCCAAAAACACCAACAGCATTACAACAAGTTCAATTATCAATTGAACGAATTAAACAAAAGTTTAAATCACTTCAAATCATCATCTACAAACAATTATTCAAAGTTCAATGATAAATTCAAATGTTTCAATGTAAGACAACACTCACCATTAACGGTACCACAACCACCAATTTCATTACCACTAACAAATATCGAGGTGAATAAAACAACACTGTCCACTGATATTCAGCATACGCATGATGATGATAGTTACACAAACATCTCTAATTGGATGAGAACAGCAGAACACCGTCTAAACTATCAACATTGTAATCGACCATCATTGGTGGAATGATGCAATAACTGCTCAACATTGATGATAATGTTATACTCATTGAAATGAAAATTAGCATTGACTCAATTTATTAGTAGTATCGTAAATATCATGGTAAATTTAGTTTCATAAATGTACTACTTATATTGGAATCAGTAGTGAAACCTGACTAATTCATGATTCATTGTGCAATATAATGAAGCATTTCTAGGATTAAAATTATTTATTATTGCTATTCTTATTGTATATATGGATTAAAAGTGTTAAATATCAATTTTAAGTGAAAATTAACTCGATTTCTAAACTACCTAACGGAGCGGTTAGAATATGTAAGGGGATACTGAGCCAAGTCCAAAGGAAACCAGCATTGCGTAGGTAGTTATTAGCTTAACTTTTTCGTTAACCTTAATGACTACCACCGATGTGAATATGACTTCTTTCGTAGAAGATAATTCTGTTATATTGTCATTATTTGTCTCTTGGGTTCCGAGTGGAACATACAGCTTCAGTTGCAAGGCTCCATTCCACTCTCTTCTCTGCACTCTTCTCAACCTATCTCCACGACTGCCCACAACCTCTCATTTCTTCCTCACATCATCTCATCCATATCAACCTCACATCGGATGCCTAACTCATCCTCTCCCATTTACCGTCCACTCGATACCCTGACCTGCCGCGTGATGTCTCCAAATGGTCTTCTCAGTGTATGTCCAATCCAATCTAATCCACTCCATCTCCACTTCCTTCCAGTGCATATTTGTTGGGCGGTGGGTTGTTGGTCGGTTGGTTCGTTGCCAGCTAGCTAGCTAGCCAGCCAGCCAGCCAGCGAGAGTTCCTTCTTGCTTATTCTCATTATTCTCGCCATCTGATCGATCTTCACTAACGAGTGAGCGTAGACGGCAATTGTTGATGAATATCTGTAGCTTGTCGGAAATGCCACTCACCACGTGCCAAGTCTCTCAACCACCACATAGAAGCACTGAATTACTTGACTGGAATCAGTGTTGAAAATCCTGATGTTGTCGACGCTTTATGCTGAGTGCAGAAGATGTGCACACTGATTTCAGGTTGATGAACACCTGTCTTGCTGTCTTTCCTATCCTGACTGGCTTTGACATCCTCGTCCATGCCACGACCACCATCTGTAGTTGGAACGATGCTGTCTAGGAAAGTGTAGGTGGAAGAGGATACTTCCTTTAAGTTTCTCCCGTTGATGGTGATTGCAGCTTCATGTTGATGTTGTTGTTGTTTGTGGTGGTGGTGGTGTTGGTGTTGGTTGGATATCGTCATCACCTCTGTCTTCTCTAAGTTCACCTGAGGGAAGTCCCGTCTTCACTGCCACATCTCTTCAATCAACTTGTTGGATTTCGCCTATAAATCTTCAAGTTTGTGTGAAATTAGACATAAGTGATCGGTGAAATCTAAATCTTCTCAGATCCCTTGCTCGGTCCAGCCAGTGTATCCCACTCTTCTCACAGCTCCTCACTGCTTGCAGCATGATCCAGTCAAATCGACCACAATCAGGAATATCATGGGTGATAGGAGGCAGCCTCGTCTTACTCCTATCTTTACTTCAGAGGCATCACTGAGCTTCGCATTGTGAATTACTTGGCATGTGGTGTCTTCACATAGTTGTTGAATGAGGTTGATCAAGGTTTGTTGTATTCCGTAGTGTTGAAGCAGAAGCTTCCAAATTACTTGTTGGTCGACGCTGTCGAAGGCCTTTTCATAGTCGATGAAGTTGAGTTGACTTCCATTGTATGCTTTGTTGTATGTTGATGCGTAGTGTGGCGTTGTGATTTGGTCGGCACATGATTTGTACTTCTTGAATGCAGTCAACCAGAGTGTTCCGGTGGTAGTTTTGAATCCAGTGCATCGTTTAGTCTCTGTAGGATGATGCGGCATAATATTTTGCTTGTATTGGGTGTACAGGAGTGGAGCGTGATTCTGCGCCGGTTCTTGCAAAGACTTAAATCGCCCTTTATGAGGAGTTTGACAAGGTAGTCCTTCTTTCGTTTAGTTGATCACTACTAAACAGAACATGATAAAACAATACGGTTTTGTAATATGGTTCAACTTTTAGATAAATAATATACTACTCAACAATATGATCAGTTAGGAACCACCTACTCCAGGCTGTTGGGTGAAATACCTGACAAGTGATAAGGTTTTTGTGCCCCAGCTACCTGGAACAATCTACAAATCACTCTGTAGGGTTTCCAACTACTGAAATTGTTCGGTTGTTGTTGTAAATTTAGCTACTTTATTGTTAGAGATAACATCTTGTCATCTTGGCTGCTGAGTGATTTCCAACGGAAATTTTGTTGATGTCACAGTTGGATAGTTGAAAAACTACTTGACTTTGAGAAATATCAAGGTTATTAGTGTGAATTTTGTAAATCATTTGCAAATTTATCATCCCAATATGGGTGAATAGTTCACAATCTAGTAAAGTATTTGAAACATTTTCAGTTTACAGGAAGAAGAAAATCACTAAAGGGCAATTTAGTGAAGAAATAATACCGTGGTTTGGTTTAAGAACAAAGATATTCCGACCACAGTATTGAAGTTAAGAAGATATTAAAAATAAATTACTGTAAAGGAGATATACACATACTAGCCGGGTCACGTATATACGTGTCTTCTTCATCAAGAACTGAGGAGGGTTACTACGAGTCTAAGGTCTACCAATTTGCCCAGTTAGGTCTCTAGTCTTTAGGTAGAAAACGATTTGGAGTTGAATGGTGCAGGGTTAAACGAATAAAACAGGTAATCAGTGTTTAATTCCCTCAACGGTTTTATGCAAGGGGTTCTCAGCCAGAGATGTTACGTCCCTTAAGCATAGATTTCCATTGCTTGACTGGAGCGAATAAGCAAGTTGTTACTCATTATGGATTGACATCAATTGGAAAACCACTGAAAACCTGGAAGCAGCAGACCGTTGTTTCCATCAGTGTGAGACTCTTAAGCAAGGAACACTCGTGACCCCACTAGGGATTGTATCTAGGACCCTCATGTTCCAACCATCCATATTTTTCTACTTCTGTTAGTTCCTCCCTTCTTTAACACTTTTCCACTGTTTAAATCGTCCATTTTAGCTTGCCATTAATGGGTTTGCTGCCCACATTCACCCTGGTTGGTTCAGGTATGTATGTATGCTGACCTAGCGGTGAAAATTCAGGTGATAGGGTTGAACCAATAGTCCACACGTCAGAAAATTGATGTGGACTATTGAAGCACTATATATATATATATATATATATATATATATATATATATATATATATATATATATATATATATATATATATATATATATATATATCAAGAGAGAGAGAGTACTTGTTCGGATTTTACGCTCAAGTCATCTACACCTACCAGCCATCAATTTCCTTTTCCTCATGGACTCCAACCAGGAAGTCAATACACTCTTACGTGATTAATGGATCAGTGGTATTTCTACGTCTGGTCACTCCGAGCTTTCTCTCAACCTAATCGTAAATCACAGAGTAACAGTTATTATAGACTAATGAATCTGTAGCCTGCTTGTATACACATTGAAGCTAGAAACCCCCTCCACCTATCTTAGTTTGAGCAGCCAGGTAGCATCAAAAGACCTCACACAATAAGTGTAACTCATCACCTACCGGGTAGGAACACATGTGGTTGATGGGTAAAGTCAGATACGAACTACTACCAAACTGACTCATTCTTAACAAATCATTCTAAATGAAGAGTAACTCACAGCATTATTGCTAGTTGACATCTAATTTGACTTCTTTATAGTTCGTGTAGGGGTCATAATCTCTTGGGTCAGCTAAGTAAGAAATAAATTGATGTATGCCCACCGATGTTATTCAGTAATGATTGCACTACATCGTGTACTGGCTAAAGCCAGAAAGTTCTGATTACTGAATAGTAGATTATTCACTTAGTTGTACTATGCTCGTATCACAATCTTAAGATAATGACCTAAGCCCAGTTAATGATCGATAGTTCAGGTAGTTGAAGAGTCCTAACTGAAAATGGTCCTACAGTTCTGATCTTGTTTGGATCAGCTTAGGCGAACAATAATAGCTGGATATATTTATGGAGGTGGTGGAGAAAATCTTACTCGGATTCAGCATCACAACTCCTAAATCAATTGACGTGTCCATTCGTATTCACGCGTACTTCATCATTTTTGAAATTTTATATCATGAATTTTCATGTACGGACAGTATTCATAGCATCCTTAAGAAGAAGAACTGTTTGACGATAGCGTTTCCCTTGTGCTTACTAATCAAGCTGTCAATAACTCTACAAATCATATGAAGAAAACAAGTGGACTGTTCAGTTCCAAGTCAGTGGTTTGAATAATAACGTGTTTGGTTTAGCTCAGTTCGTGATAAAGACCTAGGCTGGGGTGAAACGGAAATCCAGTGTCACGTGGTATTTAATACTTTTCCAACGGACGTCAGTCTATGATGAAGACCTCTATCAACTGAAATCACCTTTTACGGTGATATTCACCACAGACTGACATCGGATAGTAGGATCATTAAAAACCTGATGGTACTACATAGCACTAGTACGGGATTCCTCAACATTCAGCACCGATAACGTTGGAAGGGGTCGAACCTAGGAACTTCAGAGCTCACAATTACTAGGTCCACATTTCCTTACTTCTGATCATGCATGATGTGACGACACCAGCATGTAATTACAATAGTGAACATTTATTTTCCCGCCTGAGTTGGGTGACTCCATATGTCATAACTTTTCGCTAGGACTTCAGAAAAACTTATCTCGAAACAAGTCACTCATGAACACCAGGCAATCATTCAGTTTGGAGTTTTGTGAGAATCTGACTGATCCCAAGTTGGTAAATATGAATGTATAGCAATAGAATTAAGACAGTATCGTGACAAAGTTGATGAAATCGATGTACACTCATTGAAGTTGTGTAAAACAACTACAGGATTCAAACAAGTTGCGTATCATTTATTCAAGTGATAGGTGGATGAGCAAGCAAAAGTCTG